GGGGGGGGGGGAGGAAGTGTTAACTATTAAACAGAAATAATAATTCTCTTAAGCATATAAACAAAGTTGAGCAAAGAGTAAGTTTGAAGCTTATGTGCCTTTTAATATCTAAAAGCAAGATGAACAGAAAATGATAACAGGTTATAGGGCTTTTTTGTTATGAAGATACAGACTCACTTACTCTGAAGAACCTGTGGTAAAATTTAGAGAGGTGACTAGAGGATCCTGGCTGAATTCCCAGGCTCATCTTAAAAGAGTCAGTTTGGTGCAAAATTGTTTGGCCTCCTTAAGAAACGTACTAGTGCCGGGTGCTTGCCGTTTCTCTTAGGAAAAGGCTTGACAGTTAGTGATTTTCTTTTCTAAGTTTGGCCTTTTGCAATACTTTTGAGAAGTGAGCCGCACATCTGCCATTGATACTATTTTTTTCACATGTCATCAGAAGCTACTGACTGAGTTCAAACCAAACAAGAAATTTAAGTTCATGAAGTGGTTTCACTGAGTTTTCCGACCTTCTTAGCAGAAAAAACAAGAGACACAACACTGTCAGCAGAGCCGTGCTGTGTCACGGGTCTCCCTCCGCCAACCGCCGTTCGCAATGCAGCATCCGCCAAGCAGAAGCATCTCTAACCAACGCCCTTGCTCCTTAGTGCAGACTTTATGCGCGTCAACACTCTTCTTTCCCCTAGAAATTAACCCTATTTTAAATCTCCAAATGTTAAGGGCCTTGGGCAAAAGTAAACTGAAGGCAGAAGGCAAACAGCCCTCCCCTTGCAGTGGAAAACAACAGAAAAGTGAGAGAGAGATGAGGAGGAGGAATTACCAGCTGATTTCATAACAAATCCATGCCTCCCAGACACATACATAGGAAATCAAAACCTAGACACGTATAACTTGGACATCCAAAGGGGACTGCTACTATTCAGACATTCGGAAAGAGTTGTTGAAATTTCTACTCATGAAGCAGCTCTTGTAGGCAGTTCGGGGATTTGAAAATCTCAGGGACTTCGCTATCCAGCTTGCAGATGACCTTGTATATGGCCTTCTTCCAGGAAGGATCAACATCTTTGCCTGCAATAATGGCATTGAAAAACTCCCGTAATGTGATCTGCGCAACTTCCAGGAATCTCTCTGGAACCTGCTGATACAAGGAGACAATGGCATTAATAAAGTTTTCAGTTTCAAGTCTCCAGTTCTTCAAAGGAAACGGAGCTAAGTTCTTTCTTTGAGAAAGGGGCTTACGCGGCACCTGCATTTTCTAAAAATGGCCGGCCTCCCTTCTCTTAGGCGAGGTCGTTATATATAGCAGCATTGTAACGTGGGGTTGACAGCTTTGTAGAGTTTTAGGAAGAGACGTGTGCCAAGGGCGCAAGCAGACCTGTTGAAAGGCTAGGGCTCCGCTGTGCATGTTAGGGTCAGGGAAAGGGAACGCGCTGTTGGGATTCCGCAGGGCCTTAGACAGGTGTGTTCCAGGAGCAGGTCTCCGACCGACCTTTCAGAATGTGACTCGCGTTTGCTTTTGATTTCCGTTATGAAAACAAAGTGTGTTCTCAAACGGAGAATAATAAATAATTGGCCTCTGATAGACACTGAGCCCGAGAAAACCAAAAATTCCATTGCCTGGCCGTACCAGAGGGCTGACTCAAACGCTAAAGTGTCTATTCGAGTAATCTGTACTATCGAGTAATCTTCATACAGAAAGGAGTATGATAAAAACATTAATACTGAGTCCCAAAACCCAAAGTTTGTATTGAATCCTAAAATTCTACAAAAGAAAATACTTTACCTTGAGATGAGAATTGCTCCATAAGAGATTAATTTACACAGCCGATAAAAATAATAAAGACTAACATTTTTGGAGTGTGTCTTACGTGTCGGGCACTGTGTTATGAACTGAATGTGAATCATTTGATACCCCAACGTCTTTACGTGGCGATATTATCCCCATTTTACGGTGAGAAAAACTGAGGCTCACCGAGGTCAAAGGAATTGTTCAAAGTCATTATACGCCAAGGTAAACATTCTCCAAACATTCTTTTTAGAATCCCTAATTGTTAATCCTTATTTTCCATAGCAATTAGTACATATGTGTAGCGTGTGTGTGTGTGTGTGTGTGTGTGGTGTGAGCTTGTTTATTTAATAGTCTGACCTCTTATCTAGGGAAAGGAGTAGCTGTTGATGTACTTACTTAGTATTCTAAAGCATGGCCAGTCTCTCCCTACACCAAGATAATGGATTCACAGAATCATCCCATGAACTCATAATTCTCCAAGCACACATTGACACTCAGTAGATCTCTTTTAGAGGGGTACTTCTGCGTTCGTAATGTTTTATTTTCGCAGTAAGTGCAGACATACGAGGAAGTCAATGCCCCGTGGTTGTACGTGAAGACAGATCTGTCTACGCAGATAAGGGGTGATTTTCATCTCAGCTCAGACATGCCACTTATCAAACTAAAAGGGAGGCACTGTCCTGTTGAACATATTTGATCCTTTCCTCCCCATCTTTTCTCAATTTGTGCAATGGACCTTTCTATAATGACAGCAACTGCTAAAGAGAGCGAGAATGATCACCATTTTCACACAAGTTATTTTAAACATTTAAAATCAGACAAAGAAGTTCAGTGCTTCCCATGGCAAGTCATTTGTCCTTTGAAAGAAACCTAATGATTCCCCAGAAAAAATAAAAAAGGGCCCCCAGCGAGGGCCTATCAGGATCTAGAAAAAGTAAGAATTTTGAGTAGCTCCTCCCAAAGGCACACACACTGGGCAGTTCCTCAGGACACAGTCCCCAGAGCTGCCTGGAAAACCATCATAACACAGCCTTGTCCCCCATCCATGTGCAAACCCATCTACCCCAAAGGCCATTCCCTGCTGAGAAGTCATCTGGATCTTCTACAGAACTTGGGCGACTTTCCCCCAAATCTCCCGCATACACATGAGTGAGTATTTGTGGGATGGGAGGAGCCTGGAGGAGACATTAGCACTCCCACTCACCTTTTTCTACATAAAAAGTCATTAAGCAGTTTTGCTGAGTACTCGCCCCTCTTCCCCCAAAGATGATCCTTCCCATTGGATGAGATGGGCATTACTGAGAGAGGGAATCTGGCTGGAGAACAGTTAGGCAGCACAGCTACCCACTCTAACTACTTGGTTTGGGAGCTGTTAGCCAAATGCTACAGAAACATAATCATAGGCATTTATTAAAATAAACATTTCAAGAAGTGTGGTTTTACTGGCCAATGGCAACAGAGCCATGACGCAGATCTATGTTCCTTGAACACTCGGGGACGCTGCGGGGCATGGAGAGCGCTGTGATTACAGAAGGCACCGCAGCTGCTCCCCAGGAAGTCAGAGAAGACTGGGAGCCCCGCTCACTCCCAGACCCCACAGGAGGGCTGGGGAGCCAGGGGCCACGGGAGCAGAGGCTCTGTTCAAGAGGCAGGAATTAGATCCACAACAGCCTCGGCACTGGAGGGGGAGAGGGAGTAGTTATTCTAGGGGTTTGCCTGAGGACAAATCAAAGTAAGTTCTCTGGGGGGCTGTGCCTCCACCTTACCATTCTTATCATTTGCCATGCTTGTTGATGGCTTTCAGTGGCTCCTGTGCTGTGTTAAACATTCATTTCTTTTGGTATGCCTTTGGGCTATCCTTTAACACCTTTTGTATCTGTCTTTTATTTTCTTAAAGATTTTTTTTTTATCGATTTTTAGAGAGAGGGGAAGGGAGAGGGAGAGAAACATCGCCGTGAGAGGGAAACATCCACAGGCTCCCTCCTGCACACCCCCTACCTACCTGGGATCAAATCCACAACCCAGGCACGTGCCCTGACAGGGAATCGAATCTGCAACCTTTCGGTGCCCAACCAGCTGAGTCACACCGGCCAGGGCTGTATCTGTCTTGATGTTACTTAACTTTTCACCTACTTATATCTATTGTAATGAATTTATCATAAGAGGTCTTTAGATAAAGAGCCATGGTTTCTATTCGCACATCCCCCATGATGTTTAGCAGCATTCTTTTGAACAGTCTTTGATAAATAGTTCCTAATGAGATCTTGACTTCTTTACTCCATATTGCTTTAGCATCACATGTATCTTCTCCCTCAATACTTAAGAAAAGGAATTTTAAAATAAGATGGAATTTAAAGAGTTGGAATAAATCTCAGAAATCATTTTCTAGATGAAGAAACTATGAGATTCTATGAAATGAAGAAATTATGAGATTAAGAGATTCATGCCAAATAAGTTGTGCATGTGTCTTTCCATTAGAGCATGTGGGCTCCTTTTTAGGGTATTTTTGTTATTCCTACTTATCTGAGGCATCAAAAGCTTGACAAGCTGTGGATCTGTGATTGAGAAACACCACAGAAGAGTTAGTAACTCAAAATAAATGGGAATGGTACAAAAGATCCCAGGAGGAGACTTTAGTTTTAGGTTTATGTTTGGGAAGGGATAAATTCTTTGCAAACAAATGAAATGGTTTGCTAATTTAGTGCTTACTTTGAGGCAATACTCAGGCAATGAATTGGGCTAGATAAAATAAAGTTATAATGAGATCCGTTAATACTAGGGCAATTAATCTTTTTTGGTGGCTCCACAGAGGTAAACTGATGGGTAGCAACTGATCTGAGAGGGTGCCAATGAATTCCACCTATAGGTAGAAATATCACCCATGAAAAAAAGAGCCGCTTACCTCTCCACTAGAAAATTCTCCCAACTCCACTTAGCAGAGTAAGGTGGGGGGTACTTTCTGATGTTTTGGGGGGTGTCTGAGAATTCAGAGAATGATATTGCCCATATTTTTCTGTACCTCTTCACACCTAATGGATTTCCAATCACTAATAAACATCTGCAGAAAATCCCTTAGTGACAAGTAATCCCTTATCTAGGTTTCTTTTAATAGAACCCAACAATGTGCAGAATGAACCCTAGAGTATCTCCTCAGCATCAGGTGGCAACAGTCAATCAAGCCTCTGGAATGCAAGACAATGCAGGCTGCTGGGAGGGGGGAGGGAAGGCCATGCCTTTGGACATGCCACAGGGGAAAAACAAAAGGCTTCCAAAGTCTCTGGCTGGGTCTCGGAGGCTATTGTGGGAGCCGTGGTGCTGAGTGTTCTTCAGGAGAGGAGAGTGGAAACTTTGCTCTGATAAAAAGCCTCCCAATATAGGAGCCTCACCCCACATGGTCTTGCCTCTCCTTGCCTTGATATTCGGAAGATAATAATACCGCCATGAGGCACTTGAAGGCACTCAAAAATGTGAAGGGGCTGGCTAGCAGCATCTACCAATTTCATCACAATTGTTTGTACTTGAGTCTCCTCGCAGCCAAAGAGGGCCCTGTGGTCTTTGATGAAATGGGGGAAATGGGAGGATGTTTTCCAGTCAGTGGCTGGGCCGTGCGCACGAGCGCGCACACCCGCACACACGCACGTGCGCACACGGTGTGCTGGGTGGGTGGTTATTTTGCTCTTCTTTACTTTTTATTTTTTATTTTTTATCAGAATGAGTGGCAAAGACACATTTTCCCCCTGTCTTCCTCTCCTCTTCCCAGTTGCTTTACCTTCAAGGATGATTTGTTTTATTAAACTGACTGTCCCCAGCCTCTGCAGTACATAATAAAAGCCTGACATAGCAGGCTGCCTGCCTTCTGTGTCCTGCAGACACTCATCATAAGTGTCAGGACATACCAAGGTTAGCGGTCACTGAAAGTGTGCTCGCTGGCCCAAACCTTGCCAGACGCTCTTGGCAGCTGAATGAATGTCACAGAGAATAGGAGGGGGATTAGAAAGGTTAAAAAGAAGACAGCCTCTCCTATTTTCTGGACAGAGCAGCTGATTTTTCACACCTCTGAAACATCCACAAGCTCGTTCATCGGCCTCTTGCAGGGGACCTAAACCTTGCCCCTTGGGCAGCTCCCCATGGACACCTTTCCCTCCTTGATCCCCTTAAAAAGATGGTCCACCGGCCTCATTTCACCGGTGAAATGATCTTTGCTGAAATGCGCAGAAACAAACCAGGCAGAGACCCCTCTCCCTGGCCCCTCCCCAATAACCAAAGACTCAGAGGGCTTGTCCAACCTGTCAATATATCACGATCTAATCAGAGGAGATCATCTTTTCAGTTCATCTTTTCAACGA